TTTGAAGAACCCTCATATATATCATAGTTTGTGGACTATAACATTCCTACAGATTAAATAATATAAACTGATTTGGGTTATTTTCACCAAAGAAATGTAGCAGAATACATTTTGGCCTAAACTTATGAAGACAGATCATTTATTTGCAAATTTGTATAACAGAAACAAAGAAAAACTTTTTTTTTTCATAATTCTTCTGTATTTTTGTTTATTTAGCAAAAAAAAAAAAAAACTAGTGGTGTTTAAATACCTCAAAAAGAAAGCTCTATTTTGTTAAAAAAAAATTATAAACATTTCATATGGGTACAGTGTTGCATTTCCACACAATTGTCATTCAAAGTGTGACAGCACTGAAAGCTGAAAAATTGGCCTGGGCAGGAAGGGGGTGAAAATGTTCGGTATTGAAGTTGTTAAAAAAAAGTTATTATCACTTTAATCCCTAGAGATCTGTCTATTAAAATAATATATCAGTTTTGAGTGGCGGGTGCCTTTAACCCCCATATACTGTTGTGCTGAGAGCCATTGTGCTGATAGCATGCAGGGCCAAGAAAATTAAGTCAAGAAAATCTCAAAAATACCCTCATTTTGGTCCTGAATGGGATACATGGCTGCCCAGAGGGATATTCTCAAGCACATAAACTTGTCTATCTGTCTTAATATGACTTCTGTTGTCTAAGTGTCTAAGCTGTTATTTTACACATTACCCCACCGCATTTATACTCCAAGGTTGAACCACTTGCAACCTAAATTGTTCTGATGAAAATACATAACATTTGATTGCAGCTCCTGTGAGTGATCTATCAAGGTTTATACTTCGAAAATTGGTTTGACAGAACTACACCCCTCTACCTGGCTCATATGTCATTGGAGTGAAAGAAAACTTGTGATATTTTTTGCTGTGAAATGAGAACTCTACTTGGCTGGGAAGTGGAATTATATATAATGTTCTTTGCTACTCATCCATCTGTCCCAAATTCCTCTATACTCAGCGGGACACATTAGCTTGAAGTACCGATAATGAAGCACCAGCCAAGCCTCATTTTAAATGGATCACTGTGGTTCAGCTTCTCCTAAAAATTGCCTGGAAATTGCTTAGCAGATGATATGGCTTTGTAAGATAAAGCACTGTCAAATGAATTCATGGAGTATTTCATTTTGTAGCAGCCAGCTGAATACATTGACTTCGCAAGCTCTTGTAATGCAAAATTGAAATGCAAGCTACATTTAATAATCTTTTAATGTGCACCTGTTTCTTTATTTCAGAAAATGCCCAAGTAAAGTTGGACCCTGGAGAGACTTAAAAGAACATTATTTAATCCTAAAGTAGGACTACGGGCAAAAAAAAAAAAATTACATATATGATGCAGTCTCTAACTAGCATTTTCACAGCAGTTTTTGTTTTTCCAAGTTCCCCCTGTAGTTTTATTACTTGCTGATAGTGATGGGCCAAGTGTTTGAGTTGAACATAAGTTTGACTTGAACATCGGCCGTTCGTGTGTGCGGTGAACACACAAACGGTAAGAAGGTTCGGTGGGCTCTTTCATGTATTGATTTATTTATTTTTAACAGTGATGATACATTTGATATACGAAAATACAGTTATAACTTTTTATGACAAATTTATTTTTTAAAAATATATTTTTTAGGGCTTGTCTGCACATGCAATAGCTCTCTGAAGAGTTAATCATGGTTTGACAGGTGGTGAGGGGGCCTTATGTTACTGTATCACTGCCTATTTTAATCCCTCAAAGGTCGCACCACCAAACTACAACAGTGCCTACAGCATAGCCCCATTTACTTGAAGAGGTCAAAGTCAGCAGGCAGTATAAACCCCCATACGGCTGCCCTTGCTTAATTGCTTGTTTTTTACCACACCCTTCTCTCCAACCGCAAGTGTAAACTAGACCTTCAAGTCCTATAAAAAGTGTAAAGTGTAAACTAGGCCTTAAATGACAAGTAGCTGCTTATTTCAAAAAACGTAATTAGAGATACAGAACATAGTTATAGTGAGAGGTGTGGACCTGCAAAGGTTCTTTTAGTTTTTTGCTTTGAGTGCCCAGTTTCTCTGTTCTGGAACTTCTGTCAGCAAGGAGCCAGAGCTCAATTCTTAGGGAACCTTGCAAGAAAAGAGAAAGGGACCCAAGAGAAGAAAGTCAGCACAAGGAAAGGGAAAAGTAGAAAGAAGTGATGACAGAGAGATCAAGAAAGCATCTTAACAGTTTTCGATCATGGTACACTCTACAAGTCCCAGCACATTGCAATCGAGGTTCCCAATGGGCGTCAGGTCTTTTAGAACTGTAGGGACTGCCCCGATCAGCTGTACAGCTGCATTTCAGTAATTTGGTCCTTTAGGTAAATTCTTCTGTGGCTACTCCATCTCTCAGTTTGGATGTGTAGGTATCACTAAGCTTTTTAAAAATTTGGGATAGAGTAGGGAGGAGTTCAAACCTGTGTCAGGTTATTTTGTGTTGCCTGAGTACCATTAGGAAATTTTCTCTTCACTTGGGCCTGAAAGCCAAAGAAAAGTGAATGGAATTCCCCTCTTGGACAGATGTCCCCCGAAAGTGTCACCGTTAGAAGATTTCCCCTCAGCTCTACAAAGATAACTCTGAAATTTTGGATTTCTCCTCACTTTTCTTTTTGGTGACCATCGTCAGTATTACAAACAGAGTGGTGGATCCCTCACAATTTGGGCTCAGCAATAAAGACTTGACAAAAGTTCTATCCCTCAATCCAAAACAAAAACAAAAAATATGCTTGCAGATAGACTTTAACTTGAGAAGTACCAGAAACATTGACAAAGAAGTGACTGAATGGTCTCTTGGCACTTGCCATGTGCTATAAGTAAATGTAAGTACATGCCTGCATTTTATTGACAATCTAGCAGTGTTTTGACAATCAGGGAGAGTGCTGACATGACTATGATCCTTACAAGGTGAAAACAGTAGTATCGTGCTTGGCTGATGATGTCATACTGGAATATAAGCTTTGAAACTGGCAGAAACCCAGCAGTTGATAACATTGATAAAGACCTTAATACCTATTGTCCCATTTAAGAGAAACATTTATGAAATTCTGAACTGAGCTTGGCCAAGGAAGCTGTGCACCTGGTTTGATGAATCTGCAGCCAACTGTAATCAGGAAAAGTGAACAACAGTCCAGCTTGCGTTTGCCAGCTCACTTCCCCAAATTACTGTTAGTGAAGGTATCCAAAAATGTTCTGCACTACTCTATAATTTAGGATATTATAGGGAAAAAATATCACTAATGGGTTCCGTAGAGTTGTTTTTATGATATATGTGGTCTGTTTTATACTCAGAATATTATTTTATATTTTTTGGATGGGTCAGACTTACTGTAAGTCTCTTGCTGTTTCCAATTGTTTGCGGTGGAGGAACTGGCAGGCTCAATCAGCTATGGCCCAACAAAGATGTTTAATAGGTCTCTAGTGAGAAGCCATTTAGCCCTAAAGTACAACTGAGGACAGGCAAAGGAAATCCAAATATTTTCATTTTAAATCTTTGTAAGATGCTTTAGAGCAAGCGCTGGTCTTTGTACTTACAGCCACTGTGGAGCAATTCATCTTCAAAGTTCACAAAAAGAAGCACTGTAGTTATTTAAGTCAGTTTTCAAGCATTCTTCTCTCCCTCTTTTCCTGTGTATCTCTTCTGCTCACCTCACTCCTTTCCTCTGCGCCAGCTCAAAGTTCACATTAGAAAGAAAACATTATCTTGCTGAGAAGATACTGCTGGGAAGGGGGAGCAGAATGAGCTGAGCTGCTGCAATGAAAGTGAAAGCTGGCTCAGAGAGGTGACACATTCATGTAAATTCTCTCCAAATGGAAAAGAAAAAAAGCCCAACACATGTTTTCACCTAAAAAGCTTTGTTAGGGGTGTAAAAGAGTGAAATTGTGAAAAAAATGTTTGTGCCTTTTTTTTGCACCCCTGATGAGGGCTTTTAGGTAAAACATGTTTTTTTTCGATGAGTGCAGGGAAATCTGATTTTATGAAAAAATATTACGATGAGAGAAGGATCACCTCAGACCCTCTGGTCCATCTGGAACAATGGCAAAGTTGTATGCTTAAAGTGTTACTAAACCTACAATAGTAATATCAGTCTGTATATGCAGTAAGCCATGCTTGTTATACTCACTGTGGAACTGAAGGGGTTAATCCTGTGCATTGTGTAAAAAGGCTGTTTGATCCTTTATTCTCTGTTCCTCTCATTTTTCAAGCGACCACCACTTATCTCCAGACTGAACCATAGGCATGCTCATGCTCACTTTGGTGTATATTGCTAGATAGGTTTTTTTTTCTTGGGAGAGTGCATGTGATCAGCACAGGGCCAATCAGCACTGTCCAGACAGAGGTCAGGGGATATCCATTCTCCTAGAGCAGAAAGAAAACGCCTTCTATAAGCTTTAGCTAGTGCTGGGCTGGACACTGATAGAAGTCACAAGACTGCTCTAACTGCTGATGAGAAAATGTATTTAGCAGCTTATATTTACTAAAATAATTGCATTACCACATTGTGTGTACTGTGGGAGACCGGATATAGTGAATGCAGGGTCCTGGGTTTAGTAACACTTTAAGATGGTCCTAGTGGTCCTCCTCTATACTCAATTTAAGATGTTACTCCTCTGCGCTGTGGGTAATTATTGCTCTAGTATACAGGGACTACTTCTTAGTGTAGCTAAATGATATATCTATATATTTTATGTGTTACTATAATAAAAATCATTAACGTGTTACTACACCCCGGACCATGCATTCACTATATCTGGTCTCCCACAGTACACAGAACATGGAAGTGCAATTATTATAGTAAATAGAAACTGCTAAATACCTTTTCTCATTAGTAGTTAGTGCAGTCTTGTGACTTCCATCAGTGTTCAGCCAAGCACTGGTTAAAGCTTGTAGAGGAGTTTTCATTCTGCTGTAGGAAGATGCAGGACCCCTGACCTCTGTTTGGACAGTGCTGATTCACCCTGTGCTGATCACATGCACTCTCCCAAGAAAAAAAAAAAAAACCTACCTAGCAATACACACCAAACTGAGCATGTGCAGAGTGTCTCCACACGATATGTCTTATCAGGAGATAAGAGGGAGACACTGAAAGAAGGGGAGGATCAGAGAAGTCAGGCTCTAACAGTGTTGTTACACTATGCAGAGGATTAACCCCTTAGATTCCACAGTGAGTATAACAATCACGCTTTAGTGCATATACAGACTGATTTTACTGTTGTGGGTTTAGTAACACTGTAAGGATCCGGTGAGGTGCAGTGAGAGAGCGCATCACCCCTTCAATAAAAGTCATTACTGATACCCACAGTGAGATCCAGCTTAGAGTGATCCAAGTTCAGGCATATGTTTTTGTTAAACTTACAATGCTGCACACCAAGCAAAGGCCTGGCAAGGCAGGAAAGGGGGGGAGGACAGGAAAGCCCTGCTGCTTACCAGGCTACGTGCCAATAGGGAAAAGGGCCTCTTCCCCACAACCCTGGCCCTATGGTTGTGGGGGACTGTGGGCAGGATAGTTCATTAGCATCGGGGTACCCCTTTAAATAAGGGAGCACCCTGATGTTGCCCCTGTCTTGTGAACTTGTACTTGTACCCATTTACTAAAGGGTTGCATTTAGTCCAGTCTTTTTAAAAAATTAATTTTTTTAACAAAAAAAAAACAAAACAAAAGTTTTTGACAAGTCCTTTATTAAAAAGAAAGGCAAAAAAATTATTCCAATGCCCTTACAGTTTGTGTGTTTACCGAATACATGAACAACTGATCTTCAAGTCAAACATCCAGACCAACACTAGTATTTAGTGAGAGACATGGCGACTTTTATGCAGTTGTAATTTTGTTTCACAATTGTTTTGAAAATTAAGAATTTAATACATTTTAGGGGTTTTTTCACAGTTTTTTTTACATATTGACACAAGTGCAGTACAGTGTTATATGACTGGTGTGGCCAGGATCAGGGATCCTGACTGGTGGCAGTATATAAAAAAAATATTCAATTTATTAAACATTTTTTCATTATATATATATATATATATATATATATATATATATAATGTACAATGCTGAGCAAAACCGTTGGCGCTATATAAATACAGTATAATAATAATTATATATATATATTACATTTTTACTGTGACCAGAGCAGTGCAGTGTTACCATAGTGAAATTGATTTTTTTTTTTTGCACTGTGATTGTTTATTACAGTGATTATCACTGTAACAGCAGTGATTTTAACTTTCATTTATGGCAGCTTGCTTACTATTTTAATGCGGTGATTGACTACAGCTATCACATGGTAAGAGGCCACTGTGAATGGCCTTGTACTATGTGATAACTGATTGATCTCAGACATCACAATAGTATGCAAGCTGTCATGAATGGCTGCTATTCATGACAGTTTTGTGTACATCTTATGTGATTGCTATGATTGGTCATAATGATCAGATGATACCCCAGCCTCTCACAGCAGCTGGGTTACGTGCACTGTTGTCACAGGATCGTGCCACTGCGTGTGAGTGAGAGGACGACCCTTGATGCTCTTCTAGAACTAGATAACCACCCTGAAGTCATGTAATGACTATATAGTGGGGTGGGGGGGGGAGTGGTTAAACTACTCAGAGAGTGTTGTGCTACTATCTGCTTAGTCCAGTTACATTGGCTATACTTGTCACAAGCTTGCCCATAGCCCAAATTAAGGTTCCCAGCACATACATATGCACATGGCCATGGCAACTGTCTGGGCAGATGTGTACGGACATGGGCATAGGCACGCGCATGTGCACTAGCACATCCAGGCACACCTGTCACCAATGCTAGCACCAAATGAGCTATTTGTGTTTGATCTCTGATTCTGACCCAGCTTACTCCTGGCCTCTGTTTGTCTGCTACCTGCCCTGACCTCGATTTGTCTTCGGATTCTGCTTGTGCCTCTTGTTCTTGCCTGATTGACTTTCTGTTGCTGACTTGGCTTGTGACCCTACCAGGGGCAGACTGACAACTCATGGGGCCCTCGGGCAATAGAGGATCATGGGGCCCCTGTGTCCTTACCCAAACTCAAAAAAGCCTATGAAAAAGGTACCAGGGGCATCTCATGGGGCCCCCTACTGACCTCGGGCCCTCAGCCAGTGCCTGAGTTTCCAAATGGTCAGTCCACTACTGGACCCTACTATCCTGCTGTCTGCTGTCTATGCCTGATCTTCCCGACCGTTACCGACCTGGCTTGTATGACCCTGCATCCTGCTCATCCAGCCTGCTTCAGCTCTTCAGTCCAGCAAGCTCACATCTGCTTCCTGCTGCATTCCCACAGTCTCTGACAGCCAAGATGCATGCCAGCTCATCTGCCACCAGCCTGTTCTGCTGCCACATCTACCCGTTGACTGCTGTTGCCACGTAGACTACTGGACTGATCACAGGCACTCATATCTCGCCATGCTCCTGTGGCTGCTGTTTCACTTTCAGGAGCCCCCGAGCTGGAGCTGTAGGAGAGGCCTTCCTCCTCACGACAGGTTCACTACCCAGGTATGTGACAATACAACAAAAAAGAGATATCTGGCTATCTATCTAATTTGGCTAATTATTCAAATAGATTTTATGTCAGCCTTTCTTAACCAGAGTTCTTTGGAACCCTAGGGTTCCTCTAGGGGTTGCTAGGAGTGCCTTGAGCTGTGGCTTATTGAGCTCCCATTTGCTGGTGCCTGCATAGTTCCATGGCCAATGCCACAAGGCAGACTCAGCGTCATGATACCAATGATCTTTTTTAGCTGCCTGTAAGGGTGGCATTCTGACTATTATTGTAAAGGTGACCTTCTTCCTACTTGCCACCAATGTACGGGGCATTTTCCCAGTGAAAAACCAATGAATTGGTTTTAGCGGGAGTTCCTCAAGACCAAACATGATTTCAAGGGTTCCTTGGGGGTACAAAGGTTGAAAAAGGCTGCAGTCCATATTGTTTTGGTTTGACCATTGTACTAGTACAGTGTTTTTCAATCTTTTTTCAGTCAAAGCACACTTAAAAATGATGGACAATCCCGAGGCACCCTTTAAAATTATGGACAGTCTTGAGGCACCCCATTCTAAAATGGGGTGCCTCAAGACTGTCCATAATTTTAAAAGGGCACCCCATTCTAAATTATGAAAAACTATTCTAAGAGTTTTATATAATGCAGCAACATCCGCACATATAGGACACCCAACATTAGAGGTGATTTATTCTTCCAAAGCAAATACACTATTGCCCACTGGTACTGACTAGTATTCCAATGTTTCTCTTCTCCATCAGTTTTTCTCCATCACTGAGCTAATGTGACCCCAGCACTGATAGAGAGGGGCAGGGGAGGGTCAAACTAGGATGCTGTGCAGGGAGCTGACATCCTCTTTATCAACTGATGATGTCATCGGCTGTCAGGATGCCGATGGCTAGAAGGTCATAATGGTGCACAATGAAAACCAATGACTTTGTATAACTAAAAGGCAGGCTTGTTCCACCCACTGGCTTGTACACAAGTTTTGGGCAATTTTTAGAAATTTTGCCAGGGCACCTCTGAAGAAACCTCAAGGCACCCCGGGGTATCTGGGCACCCTAGTTGAGAAAGGCTGCTGCAGTATACTAGGAATCAATAGTGATACTGTACCTCCTACTGTTTCATAAATATTTTACTCTTGGCATTAGACTAATTATGCAAATGGTAGCAAAATTTGGTGGTAACATACATGGTTGTATATTTAAGGCTTTTTGCTCTGATTGTTCACATCTAAAAATTATCAAAAAAATGATAGAAAAGGCACAGCTTTATTAGAACAAATAATACTAATGCTGTATATTGTGACATGTCAGGAGTTCACTGATGCAGACTTGAAAAGCCACTAAAAGGTCCACTTTAATAAAAATAATAGTAGGCATCTGGTGGTATCTGCTCTCATCCAGAACTTGGCTTTAGACTGACAGGTTCACATTTATAGACCCTACCATTCTGGTTGAAGGAGAGACTAGAGGTTAATCATTTGTTAGAGTACATAAGTTACAGGTAATAAACTATTTGGACTATTATTGCTCTATCATTAAATGTTATATAATTTTACTGACATTAAAAAAATTGCTTCTGGTAAGCAGTACCACATGTTTTCGGAGGTCATTGTAATAAAATATTGAAAATCACTTAGCATATTTTCATAATAGAAGACTTATGCCCTCCGTAAAAGTGCATTACGATGAACACAAGGAGCCAGATTTGTAAGTGCACAAGCGTAAAGCCACATTGCCGAAACCAGCAAGATGATGTAGTTTAACAGAAATGGTTTTAGTCAGAGCAATTTAAAAAGTCCAAATGGTTACTGTAGTGAAGTCCAGCAAGGGCTGTGCCAGAAGATAATTCAAACACAACGTCAGCAGTATACAGAACGATAAAAGTGAACCTGTCCACAGACAGTACAAACATGTGCTAGACAAGCAGTTAGAACGCTATAAAACAAATCCTCGTTCACCCCTGTAGCTATAGGCTTTGTGCAGAAATCTGTCTTCAAATTTCATGACAGAGGCACTGAAATCACAGCTCCTTTCCTCATTGCGCTTTATTGCTGCAGAATCTAGGCAGCCTGCCACCTCTCGAATGCAAACACACAGCAGGTGTTTCTAAAGTCTGATATACAGTGCGGAGCAGAAGTATTTGAACACCCTGCAATTTTGCAAGTTCTCCCACTTAGAAATCATGGAGGGGTCTGAAATTCACATTGTAGGTGCATTCCCACTCTGAGAGACAGAATTCAAAAAAAAAAATCAGGAAATCACATTGTATGATTTTTAAAGAATTTATTTGTCTTGCACTGCTGAACAACAGTATTTGAACACCTGAGAATCTGCAAGAATTCTGGCTCTCAAAGACCTGTTACTGTGCCTTTAAAAAGTCCACCTCTACTCCACTCATTAATCTAACTTAGTAGCACCTGTCTGAGCTCTTTAAAGACACCTGTCCACCCCACAGTCAGTCAGACGCCAACTACTACCATGGGCAAGACCAAAGAGCTGTCAAAAGACACCAGAGACAGAAGGCTGGAAAGGGCTACGGGGCAATAGCCAAGCAGCTTGGTGAAAATAGCTCAACTGTTGGAGCAATTGTTAGAAAATGGAAGAGGCTAAAGACGACTGTCAGTCTCCCTCGGACTGGGGCTCCATGCAAGATCTCACCTCGTGGGGTATCACTGATGATAAGAAAGGTGAGGAATCAGCCCAGAACTACAAGGGAGGAGCTGGTCAATGACATGAAGAGAGCTGGGACCAGAGTTTCAAAGGTCACTGTCGGTAGAACACTACGCCGTCATTGTGTCAAATCATGCATTGCACGGAAGGTTCCCCTGCTCAAGTCATCACATGTCCAGGCCCGTCTGAAGTTTGCCAATGACCATCTGGATGATCCAGAGGAGGCATGAGAGAAAGTCATGTGGTCAGATGAGACCAAAGTAGAACTTTTTGGTCTAAACTTCACTCGTCGTGTTTGGAGGAAAAAGAAGGATGAGTTGCATGCCAAGAACACCATCCCTACTGTGAAGCATGGGGGTGGTAACATCATGCTTTGGGGGTGCTTTTCTGCAAAGGGACAGGACGACTGCACTGTATTAAGGAGAGGATGAATGGGGCCATTTATTGTGAGATTTTGAGCAACAACCTCCTTCCCTCAGTCAGAGCATTGAAGATGGGTCGTGGCTGGGTCTTCCAACATGACAACGACCCGAAGCACACAGCCAGGATAACCAAGGAGTGGCTCCGTAAGAAGCATATCAAGGTTCTGGAGTGGCTTTGCCAGTCTCCAGACCTAAATCCAATAGAACATCTTTGGAGGGAGCTGAAACTCTGTGTTGCTCAGCGACAGCCCCGAAACCTGACAGATCAGGAGATCTGTGTGGAGGAGTGGGCCAAAATCCCTGTTGCAGTGTGTGCAAACCTGGTCAAGAACTACAGGAAACGTTTGACCTCTGTAATTGCAAACAAAGGCTTCTGTACCAAATATTAACACTGATTTTCTCAGGTGTTCAAATACTTATGTTCAGCAGTGCAAGACAAATACATTCTTTACAAATCATACAATGTGATTTCCTGAATTTTTTTTTAAATTCTGTCTCTCAGAGTGGGAATGCACCTACAATGTGAATTTCAGACCCCTCCATGATTTCTAAGTGGGAGAACTTGCAAAATCGCAGGGTGTTCAAATACTTCTGTTCCTCACTGTATAAGGCTCAAATTTTAGCAGATTCCTGTTAAATCCACCAAGATTCCAGCCTTAGGTGGGCCCTGTTGGCACCACCTGGCTCAACAAAAGTTGGCTTTTAAATCTACTTTTATCAAAGGAGCCCAGTGGAAAATTTTCAGCCAAACAGCAACTGCAATTAGACGCAGTCACTGTTCAGGTTTTCAGACAGTCATGGGCACTGGCTGTCAGAACACAATAGCCGATAGGGGAGATTCCTTTATCCACACTCTTTAGCATGAATGATGGAGTCTATTAGATTTTTCTTGTTCAGCCCACAGGCTGAACAACACAAACCAATAAATAATATAGTAAATACAGTAATTCTAGCCTAAGCTGTTAGAAACCAACTGAAACCACACTTTAGAACTGGGGTCTTCAAACTGCAGGGCCAGATATGGCCATTTACTTGCCTTTATCTGGCCCTTGGGCACTATTCCTTCCCCTGATATGAAGCACTATTGCTTCCACTGACACCAATGATGGGGCACTACTCCCACTGACACCAACGATGGGGCACTATTCCTTCCATTGACACCAACAATGGGGCACTATTCCTCCCACTGACACCAATGATGGGGCACTATTCCTCCAACTGACATCAATCATGGGGCACTATTCCTCCCACTGACACCAATGATGGGGCATTATTCCTCCCACTGACACCAATGATGGGGCATTATTCCTCCCACTGATACCAACAATGGGGCATTATTCCTCCCATTGACACCAATAATGTATTTTTTCACTTCCATTGACCACCATGTCTATGACATTATTTAATCCCATCGATGTCAGGGCATTTTCTACTCTCACTCACTGCCTGGCCCACCTATTATTTGAAGGGGAGTAAATTGGCCCTTTGTTTTGAAAGATTCTAGACCCCTGCTTTAGAGTCTTTGGCCGCTTTCACACTGATCCTTTTTTCTTCTACTGTTGCGTTAAAATAAGCAGAAGAAAAATGTGTGACCACATATTCCTAGGGAATTCTTCACACTGATCCATTGTGTTTTTTAAAATCCTGCTCCATTTTTGGTGCAGTAAAAAAAACACACCAAAAATGCACCATTGAAAATCAATGGAAAACATGGCAAAAACGCATCAAAAATGCACTCGCAGCAGTAAAAATGCAGATCAGTGTGAAAGTAGCCTTTGTTGTGAACTTAACCTCCTCCCGTCTGCCCATTCTACATAGAAGGTGGACGGGAAGCAGCCCGATGCAGGCTAACATACCTGTACGTCAAAATATAAAAATATAATATTACAGCACAAAAATTAAACAACCAATAGTGATTATTATTGTTTCATCACTGTTGATATAATCACTATTGGTTGTTTAATTTTTGTGCTGTAATATTAATAGTAAGCAATGAAACTGCAAAAAAAAGATTGCTTCTCTCTGCTCTCAGTGTGAGAGCAGAGAGAAGCGATCCTGCAGTGTGTGAGTGTACAACAGCCTACCAGGCTGCTTGTACACTCACACACTGCAGTGCCAGCCACCCCACTGCCTCAATTTAGTGCCCCTGTGTCCCTGATCACTACCCCACAATATCAATAATAAATAATCCAGGGAGACCCTGTCACAGTGCGCACAAAACACCCCCATACACCATATCAGTATCCTGATCACCGCTCTACCCCAAACCAACAACCTGACCACTGCCATATGCCATACCAGCATCCAGATCAACTCCATACACCATACCAGCATCCTGATCACCTTCATACACCATACCAGCATCCTGATCACCTCCATACACCAAACCAGCATCCTGATCACCTCCATACACCATACCAGCATCCTGATCCCCTCCATACACCATACCAGCGTCCTGATCAATTCCATGCACCATACCAGCGTCCTGATCAACTCCATACACCATACCAGCGTCCTGATCACCTCCATACACCATACCAGCGTCCTGTCCTGATCACCTCCATACACCATACCAGCGTCCTGATCAACTCCATACACCATACCAGCGTCCTGATCAACTCCATACACCATACCAGCGTCCTGATCAACTCCATACACCATACCAGCATCCTGATCAACTCCATACACCATACCAGCGTCCTGATCAACTCCATACACCATACCAGCGCCCTGATCACCTCCATACACCATACCAGCATCCTGATCACCTCCATACACCATACCAGCATCCTGATCACCTCCATACACCATACCAGCATCCTGATCAACTCCATACACCATACCAGCATCCTGATCACCTCCATACACCATACCAGCATCCTGATCACCTCCATACACCATACCAGCATCCTGATCACCTCCATACACCATACCAGCATCCTGATCACCTCCATACACCATACCAGCATCCTGATCACCTATACCATACCAGCCCTGATCACCTCCATACACCATACCAGCATCCTGATCACCTCCATACCCCATACCAGAGTTCTGATCACTGCCAGCATCCTGATACCTCATACCAGCGTTTTGATCACTGCCATAGCCTATACCAGCATCCTGATCACCACCATACCCCATACCAGCATCCTGATCACCACCATACCTCATAACAGAATATTGGCTACTGCCATACCATTGTCTTGATCACCACCATACCTCACGCTAAAGTGCTGATCACTGCCATACCCTATACCAGCATCCTGATCACTGCAATATGCCATACCAGCATCCGGCATTTTAGGATCTCAGCTGATCAATTTTCAGATATATATCCCATAGTTTGTAGACTCTAAAGCTTTCACACAGACTAAATAATATACACTGTTTTGTGTTATTTTTACCCCCAAAATGCAGCAGAATACATTTTTGCCTAAATTTATGAAGAAAAATTATCTATTTGCAAAATTTGTATAACAAAAACTACGCAAAAAAGTTTTTTCAAAATGTTTGGTATTTTTTCATTTATACAGAAAAAAATAAAAAAAACAGTGGTGATCAAATACCACCAAAAGAAAGTTTAATCTGTCTTAAAAAAAGGATAAAAATGTCATATGGGTACAATGTTGCATGACTGAGTAATTGTCACTCAAAGTGTGATAGTGCTGAAAGCTGAAAATTGGCCTGAACTGGAAATGGTTAAAGGATCTTTGAGAATGAATTACTTCACAGTATATGCAGCTAAAGAGGTCAGTGAAAGCTCTTTTACTGTTTGTTAAGAATACTTTATTTACTGCTATGCACTATTTACCCAAATATATTCTTTGCATTAGGGTAGAAAATGCCCCAGTAACATTCTATGTCCCCATACCCAAGCATTTACCTACAATTCATGTTTCCCAATTCTATCGAGTTGTAGAGGAGGGTACTGAAGGTAGAGGACCAACAAGCAGCTGTGAGCTGTGAGGAGGGAGCAGCAGTGAGGCTTTCCAGGCGTTGCCTGTTTCAATATTCGGTGTGTTTTATGGCTCAGGTAAAATTTCTGCAGGGAGCACACACACGGGTTTCTCTTTTGCAGCCTGCTAGGTAAAGCAGACTCCCACAAATAGGAGGGGGGCAGTGGTTTGGGGCCTGCAAAAAACAGATGAAAAGGGACATTTTTTAAGAAGAAGAGTAAGTGTGGACTTCCTGTGCTGATTTTTTTAAAGTGTTAAAGGCTAACTTAAATTTTAGTAACATGTTAAAATACAGCACCTGCCCTTTGTTGAGAAATTTGGAAACTTTGAATAACACCACGCATAGCAATTCTAACTGCTACCATCTTGAGTAAGGGTAGATAATTCATATAGCATTTACTTCCTGCAATCCATCTGCCCTTAGCTCAGGCATGAAGGCAGGAGGGTGTGCTTAGCTGGGAAAGCTCCTCCTCCAGATGAAAGAAAAAAAAATGCCTATGAAGTCTCCTGAGTTGTATGACATCATTTTGGCCTAGGCCAGAAACCAGGAAGCAACTGAACAAATGTAAATGAAAAGTAAATATAATATACGTACCTATATATATTTTTGTGTATTAAATATAATGTCATAGCTCCCAACTGTCCCTGATTTGGAACAAAGTACCTCTGTCCCTCTTTCCTCCTCATTTGTCCCTCATTTTGGTTTGATCTATATAGTTGTATATAAAATGCACTTTTTATCTTTCAAAAAGTGTTTCACAGTTCAAAACCTTTCATCCTAATTCTAAATTGCTGCACTTGTAAATTTCAAAAGCCAGTATAAAGAAATAGTAGTAGTTAAAAAAAAGCATTTGTGGGTTTAAAGTAGTTTTAAAGGAAAAAAAAAAACAAGCATGTCCTATTCTCAAAAGAAATGCACAAAGCAGCCCTGATCCTCCTCTTCTCTGGCCCCTCACCAGCACTCCTGGCTCCTCCTCTTTTGCTGTTTCCATGGGGGCACTCGTGTGGGTTTGCTCCCGAGTCCTGCTGCTGAATCCATTGACAAATACAGTGGAGTTGATTGATAGGAGCGGGAGCCAATGGCTCCTGCTGCTATCAATCTGCTCAATGAGGAGCACCAAGCCAGGAGAGCAGCAGCCTTCATGCACAGCTCTGGATCGCTATGGGGCTCAGGTACGTATAAGAGGGGGCAGGGGGGCATTCTGTTACACAGAAGATTTTTTCCCTTAATGCATAGAATGTACTAAGGTTAAAACATCTTCAGCCTTTCGAATCACTTAAACTAATAATTTTTTTTGTAGAATTCTTCTTTAAGGGGGTGTGGCAGGGGGTGTGTCTACATGCTTTTGCTAATAGGTGTTCTCCTTTCCCATCTCAAAAAGCTGGGAGGTATGGTGTATTTTTTTAACTGAAAATTTGCATTTGCAAAAATTTTGTGGCATAAAAAATTGGAACTACCACCATTTTATTCTCTAGGTTCTCTGCTTTCATACAATATATATGAGGGTTAACTAATCTTAAGGCCTAAAATGATTTTTAGTTTGAAAAGGGTTAAAGTGACACTAAACTTTAAAATACATTCTATTCAAGTATATTTTTAATTAAAAAGCATCTTCTATTGTGCTGATCCTCCTCCATATTTCCAAATTCTTCTCTGTTTTTTGCTAGGATCCTTACTTCCTTTTAAAGGGTGGCCGTGTTTGTTCTCCATGGTCCCATTGTATATAGGAATGTAGCCATCCTCTCTTGCTCACTCCTGAGATGGACTAGGGATTATAACATTTGTTGTGTGATAGAGCAGTGCACCTGATCCCAGCTAACGTACTGTTCCAAACATAAAAAATTGACAAGTTATGGACTCAACCGGAATAGGGGATTTGTATATATGTAAATAATATTAAAGGAAGGAAAGGTGGTCAATGGCGCACAATTGTGCCATTGACCACCTTCCTTACTTTTTGAATTATTACCTTTTTGTATTATCTACTTATATACAAATCCCCTATTCCGGTTGAGTCCATAACTAGTCAATTTTTTCTTGTAGTTTCTCAATAGTTTGGTGTCTAGGGACTCCCGGTTTACCTTTTTCTCATGATTACGTATTTAGGTACCTTGAGGCTTCTCTTGGAGGTCTTGCAATATTGTTCCATAGCAAAGTGAGGGAGAAAAGGAGAGGGTCGGAAGTTAATGGAGGACATTACAAGGAGGCAGAAAAACACAATAAGTAATGACTTCATGAAAAATAAATGACATGGCTAATAAGTAGTGGATGTGTATGGATTATTTATGGAAAATAAGGATATCATGTAGTATGACTTGAAATATACCTAACTACTTCCACTTATGTATGCCATCGCCTGCATTAATATATCACACTACATGCATTTCAGTTGCTTTTTTCTGCCTCCAAAACGCACAAAAAGTAGGTTATATGGTTGTCAATGTCATAGTTCACATCAGTTCTTGAAGTTCCAGTGAGTTCCGGTTGCAGAAAAAAAAGTAGAAAAGGCTGCATTTTTTTCTGGACAGAACTGTACTGGAATGTGGTAAAATGCATCAAGAACGCACCAAAAACGCACTAAAATGCAAATGTCCATATTTAAATTGAAGTAAAAGAGAGGGGAAAAAAATTAACTGGAATGCATAAAAAACCGCACTGGAATGCGTCAAAAAAGCATCAAACCCGCACCGGAATGCACCAAAAAACGCATCTGGAACATTTCTTTCCTTGTTCAAACATTTTATTGAAAATGATGCAATGTAACAGGGACAGAGTCATTACCAGCATAAAATAGGCACTGTACTGACAACAAAACATAGGAAATAGAAAATCACATCGTCAATGTCCTTATGGTAAGGAGGTAAGAGAGGATCACAAAAACAATGCTAAGTTTTTGGTGATTACTAGTGAATGGGAGTTGTTAGCGATAGATTTCGTGAATTTTGTCAGTTAGGATAATGGCTCACTGAACATTATGAAAGGTTGGAGAAATTTAGGGGGAGATCGAAGGGGGACGGGAACGGAAAGAAAAAATAAGGGGGGGGGGAGAAGAGAAAGCTCAGCAGTAATGACTCCATGAGCGGTAGGCAGGAACATGGCGACACTTATGCACCATATGAGGTGGGACATGGGCAGTGTCCAAGGTGTACTGCAAACAAATCAGTAGAGAAGGACAGATTCGTCAAAGTTAGGCAGGAGAAGACACTCTACCCAGGGGCTCCAAATGTTTAAGAATTTAGGGATCATGTCGAGAATTGTGGCTTCCACTTTTGCATGTATCATAGCTTGCGTTATTCTGGTTTTAACCGCTGTAATATTTAATGAGGGGGATTTCCAGGATTTCGCAATGACCTGTTTGGCTGCTGTGGTGACTTGCAGAAGCAGTTTGAATTGCGAGTTAGAGATGCCAGGAGGGCGTTGATTGAGTAGGGCGGTTATCGGGTTAGGTTGTAGCTTGGTAGTGCTAAGTGTGGATAACATGTTGAAAGATTTCAACCCAGAAGGTTTGAGCTACTGGGCAATTCCACTATATATGATAGTGTGTTCCTAGGTCAGCACAGCCTCTAAAGCAGGTGGGCGAGTAATTAGGGGTGTATTTAGCGATTCTCGCTGGAACTAAATACCATCTTGCTAAGACTTTATAATTGGTTTCTAGAGCTACAATGTTTTGCGAAGATGATTTTGTATTAGTCCAGACATGGTCCCACTCAGATAAGTCTAATTGCCTGCCTAGGTCAGTTTCCCATTTATGGGTGTAGGGAGGGGGGGACATGGTGACCGAAGTTGTGAGGAGGGAATATAGGCATGAAATGAGGCCACGTCTGTGGGGGTCCTTGCAGCATGCCCATTCAAAGAGAGACATGGTGCTAGGTTGGCTTGTTATTGTTGTGTAGGGGGCGTAAAAGTGCTGTAGCTGTAAGTATCTAAAAATTTCGGAGGCTGGAAGACTATAGGTTTCCTGTAGCGAGGCAAAGGATTTAAATGTATTTCTCTGTAGGAAATGGTGTGTACAGAGCAGGTTAGCAGAGGTCCATGCTTGGAATGAAAGAGGTGTCTGCCACGCCGGGGGAAAGTCTGGGTTTCGAAGATATGAGAGCAAGGGGTTATGTGGCGATTGGAGGAGATAGCGGGTTTTCAATTTGTCCCATAAGGATAAGAAGTGGGAATCTGGAACGTTTCTATAATGTGAATCTGGAACGTTTTTATAATGTGAACCGGCCCTCAAAGACACGGCAACTAAATAACTAAAAAGAAAAATGCGTTAATATAGAATAAATATATATTTTTTTTATTTGGAATACAAAGCACACCTCTCCTATACTGTAGGTTGTACAGCACT